GCGACCTCGGGGGGGAGTCATGTGATATTGGGGGGTCACGTGACCTCGGGGGAGGGGTCACGTGACCTCGGGGAAGGGGTCACGTTACCTGGGGGAGGGGTCACGTGACCTCGGGGGGGGGGGGACACGTGACCTCGGGGGGGGAGGGACACGTGACCCCCCCTCCCCGAGGTCACCGAAGGAACCCGAGGTTCTCCGAGGTCCTCCCGAAGGAACGCGAGGTCCTCCCGAAGGAACCCGAGGTTCTTCCGAGGTCCTCCCGAAGGAACCCGAGGACCTTCGGGAGGACCTCGGGTTTCTTCGGGAAAATTTACCCACAATGCACCGCGCGGTTACGCAGACAGCGACGGCGACGGCGACGGCGACGGCGACGCCGACGCCGACGCCGCTCAAGCCGGAAACTGGCGCCTAAGAGCTGTGCTCTAAAAGGGTGTATTGGTGTTACCTCTCAAATCTGAAATAATAGACAGCAGCAGTGGATCAAAGTTCAGTTCCTGGGCAATGTCCAGAAGGTTTGAGATAGGAAGAACGGGAATATTGGTGTCTTCATTGATGTGGGTAGTAGAGTTAATGGGTTAAAGGATAGGCATTCGGCATTTTGATGGAGCTTCCCTGATTTATAGGTTCTGGAGAAATCGTTCTCTTGGAGCCGAAGAGCCCATCGTCCAAGGCGGCCGACAGGATCTTTTATACACGATAGCCAGCGGAGGGCGTGATGGTCAGTGATTACAGAAAACCGGCGGCCAAATCAGTATGGCCGAAATTATGTTATTGCCCACACAAACGCTCGACACTCCCGCTTGGTGATTGTGTAATTTTTTTTTTCGTTTAATAAAAGTGTGTGGCTTGCGTCAGCAGTTACTCGGTTGTGTCCGGATTGAATTTGAGCCAAAATAGCACCAATACCATGGCCATTGATATCTGTGCGTAACTCATTGGGTGCGGAGTCATCAAAATGACCTAGAATGAAGCTGGTTGTTAAAGCGATCTTTAAGCATATAAACGCTCGTTCTTCGTCCGATTGCCATAAAGAAGGCGTGCCTTTTTTCAGAAGGTTGTGCGATATGGTGTATAAAACGCGGAAGTATAAAGGCAATCCAAGAAAGCTGCGGACGTCCTTAGTGTAGCGCGGTCTTGGAAAGTCCTGAACAGCATTTACTTTCTCAGGGTCTGGTTGAATGCCGGTTTATCCACCAAATGGCACAAAATTGTTATATGAAGAATGCCGAACTGGTACTTCAACGAGTTTAAATTAAAGCCGGCGTAACGGAAAAGTTCGAGTACTTGAGCCTCGCGCGTGAGGTGAGAGGAAAATGTGATTGAAAAAATAATTACATCGCCGAGATTACATAGGCAGGTAGTCCGTTTTAAATCTTTAGCCAGGCGATCCATCATCCTTTCAAATGTTTAAAGTAATGCCCGAATGGCATAACTTTAAATTCGTAGAGGCCGTTGGGTGTAATAAATGCTGTTTTTTCTCGATCTGAGTCGTCGAGAGTAATTTTCCAATAGCCCATGCGGAGGTCAATAATGGAAAAGTACTCGGCACCGTGCAAATATTCCAGCGTGTCATCAATACGAGGGAGTGGATAAACGACCATTTTTGTGATTTTGTTCAAGCGACGGTAGTCGACGCTGAACCTCCATGATCCATCTTTTTTCTTGATCAATACAACGGGCGTTGACCAGGTGCTAGAAGAAGGTCGAACAATGTCCTTCGAAAACATGTTTTCAACTTCTTGTTGAATGACTCGACGTTCGCTGGCTGACACTCGGTAAGGTCTGTGGTGGACGGAAGTTGCGTGGCCGGTGTCGATGTGATGTGTAGCAAGGGTCGTATGTCCAAGGGGGCGGTTGTCAAAACCGAAGATGTTATGGAACTGCGTGCAGAAGACCTTGAAGGCGCTGTCGTTTGGTAGAGTCCAACCTGGAGTCTACCATGCTGAGTATTTTCAAAGGGTCCAGGAATGCTGGGCGGGTTGAATTAGGAGCGGATGGGTGGTCTGCTGCAATAGTGGAGACGGTGGCCGTGTCTAACCAAAAGCTTGTTGCTACGAAGCACCTTTTGCAATATTTGTGTACTGGAACTAAAGTTAGCTACCCATACGCGAGTGCAGCCATTGGAAATGGGAACAATACAGTGCGGGAGGGCAAGCTGTTTCGCAAGAAATATGTCCTTGTTAGGCGTTAGAACGTAGTCTTCATTGGCAACAAAGTGCTTTGAGTGAACTTCGGCGGTGTTGGCAGCAAGCGGCGGAATACGATGACTTGCAGTGGTGTATATTCTTGAAACGATTGATTCCGACGTGTGGGCTGAGGTAGGAATGAGAAGGGAAATGGTTCCTGTGGCGCAATCAATGAGGGCGGCGTGCGTTGACAAAAACTTTTATCCTAGAATCAAAGCATGGGGACAATTTTGGAATCACGGTGAAGAGAACGCGGGTTGTTTCATTGTTTATGGTAATTCGAGCGCTGCAAATTCCAAGACGTGAGATAGCGCGACCGTCTGCACCCCGGAGGAGCTTAGAATCCGGGGGCATTAAAACCTTGTGAAGCTGGCGTCTAAGATCTTCTCTTACAATAGAGATGGCGGCACCTCTATTTACGAGCGTTAATATAGAAACTTGGTCGATTGAAATTAAAAGTTCGTTCTGTGTCTTGCTCGTGGCATCCTGAAGAGGACTAGTGGCCACGAACATTGATGCGGCCCCACATCGCGAGGCTGCACGGTTTAGTTTCCCGAAATGCGGTGGTCGTGGGTGGGGGATGTTGAGCGACGGGGCATGGGCGAGGGTGAGCGGCGGGGATAGGGGAAGGGGAAACGGCTGTATCATGTGGGCAAACTGGGCTCTTCATCTTCATGGCGGTAGAAATTGGCTGATGGGCTGGAGTGACGTTGAAAGGACCGGCGGTAGGCAGTCGACGAGAAAATGCGTCGTCCATCGTTCCGGAGGGACGAGCCAGTGGATCTTTCGTTGGAACAACGCTTGAACAGCAGATACTGGAACTGCTGCACTAGCTGAATCAGCAGGGAACGCAGAGGTCTCTGTTGGCAGCATCGCTTCCAATTCACGGCGTACTATCCGGATAATTTGCCTCTCAGATATTGGCGGATCCTCACAGGTGGACTTTGGTGTCGCGTTGGGCAGGCGTGTGAAGGTGGCTGTGATTCGGCGTTTTTTAGTCTCTTCAAAACGCCTGCACTCTTGTATAACAGCATCCAGTGTGGCACAATTTTTAAAGCAATCAACTGGAATGCATCTTCGGCGATACCCTTAAGAGTGTGAGTTACTTTCTCAGCGTTAGTCATGATAGGATCAGACTTCTGACAAAGGGAAACAACTGCCTGAATGTACGTAATGTAGGATTCTGAGGGCGTTTAGACATGTGAAGCAAGCTTCCGCTTCACGGAGAGCCTTCGACCAGTAGGATCGCCAAAGAGATGTTGCAGATGTTCGTTACACATATCCGAAGACGTAATAGTTTATTCGTGGGTGAGGAACCAGGTTCGGGCTGTGTCTTGTGGATAACAAATGACGTTCGAAAGCGTGATAGTTGGGTTTCACCTGTTATGAACGCTGATCCTCTCGTATAGGTGGATCCGTTGTTCTACATCTTGATCCCCGGATCCGGTGAAGTTGCCAGGGTCACGAGGGTGGGCAATGATAAAAGGGGAGGTTGGTTGCGAGGGTGTGCCCTCCGGTGGGGTGCTGCCGGATGCCGTGTTGCCGTCGGCTCCGGAGTTCCAGGTTGGTGGGGACGGAGAGGTAGGCGGACGGGTCGCACCTCCACCAAGGTGTTACGATAAATCTATACAGTGAACGGGTCGCACCTCCACCAAGGTGTTACGATAAATCTATACAATGATTTAATTTACATTAGGTGAAGACTGAAAATGGCGGTTACAATCATCCTCTACCTCTTCATCTTCTCATGTCTTTTCGCAAAAAAAAGTATCTTCTTTTTCTTCTTAACAATATTGATAACGAAGAATTATTTTATTGCGAGGTCACAGAAGCTGTGGCCATCTAGCAGGCACTCCACAAAACTCCTTGTTCCACAAATACTGTATATACAAAAAAGGATTGTCATGGCTGTGGCGTCACTTTGTGGAAAGGCGCCCTCTTCACACGCAGCGGACACAGAATCGAATCCCAAGAACGGCGTGCGATTGTTTTTAAGCAGTTGGCTATCTTGACTACGGACGCCCTACGATCTACTACGCCAACTACAATATCAACAACGACAACGAGCGTCATTTGCTGTGATGGGAGGGGCCCACTAATAGCTATGATCTATCCCTACATATATCGATAAATTCGTTCCTAATCCATGAACTCGCACAAGTATAAAAAAAAAACGCAATCATGACTGAACAAACGTGAAAGGTATAAGAAAGATCTGTTAGCAACTTGCAAGGCAATAAGAAGCAATCGTATTCTTTTTTTTATTTTACGTTTTAATTGTATTTATTGTCATATTTTTACGAAGGAACAGGCGAGGAAACAAAAAATAGCTTGGGGAGACTGAAACGTTTAATAGCGCGAACTTGTGCCCAAGAATAAAAAGGAAACAGACGATAACAGCAGAACGTCGCCGGCTTTGAAGTCGTCGTAACAGCAGAGTCGAACACCGGGGCGGCACTGACTGAGGATCGCCATGCGGAGTTTCTTATGAACACGCGTTGGCTTCTGGAACAGTCGGCCTAGAAGGTTCGGTGACGAGGACATTCGCAAAAGCAGCAGGATTCTCGAATTTACTTGAACACAAAATTGCAAGGATAAACAAAAGATGCGCCGCCACCAGAAATCGAACCCTGGCACTTCGCGTGGGAGGCAGGCACGATAACCGTTAGGCCACGGCCGCGCTGCCTACTTGGCTAACTGCGCGCGCGGCAATATATGTTCAAATGCATATTAAGTACACAAATAGTGCGCTGCCAGGTTTAGGTAATTTTAATCACATTGACCCTAAACTAAATACAGGATGCCGTTACGTACCATTTTTTAGGCATGACGTGTACGCTATTTTCACCATATCCGCTGCTTGAATGTCGTCGACTTTCTTAATTGTACTGTTTTCTAGAAGTCCTGAATAAAAAATGTACAGTATATATAAATGTTTGGGACATATTTCAAGCACATAAAATTAGTATGAATGTTAATATATTTGAAGTTATGCTTTTTAAAGTCTGGTCTTTCTGGCTCGATAGCATTGTGTCCCACTATTAAGAATAATAAATTTCCTTACCATGAAGTAGTCTCCGGACATCAACACGATGAATATATTTGCTGCGTCCTTGTGAATCTAACTTATTCCACGTATTACAAACGTGTTCATAAAAATTGTTACAAGGCAATATGGAGTTATTGATTGTATCCGAGAAACGTTTTCCTGGAATGTTTCAGTCTACGTGTGAGAAGGTATCAATACAATTTTCCTCAAGATTTATAAGGACTTGTCTTTACATGTGTTTTATTTCTACCCCCGCAATGTAATAATAAGTAAACTCTCAATACACGGGCCGACAATATTTGAAACAATCATGCCAAACTGATAATAAAGGCAGGTGCACTTTCATGAGAAAGGTTTTGCAGCATCGACATTAACATACCCTAGACATGAAGACAACTAAATTACGAACTATTGTAAACACGTGTAAGGACCTGATAGTCAGCTTGTTCTTTACTACCCTTGCAATGACCTGAATGTTTGCGTTCAAAAACAAAACAAGAAACAAAATTATACGCTTTCCTCGTCTGGCAAGCTAGGATTCGAAAAAAAAATGAACAGTCTTGGAATAGTCGAGTGATGTTGGTCATAGATTATATGTATCTAAAGTCACCAAGTTGGTTACCAAGCGGCGTTCTCGTTCCTCGAAAAGTCGACGGGCGAGCAGCACGTCGCGTCGTTCACTGGCGGCGGCCGGGCAGAAAAGCCTTGCGCCTTCGCTTGATAATTGACCGGACATTCACGGGGCCAATTTCGGACATTCCGCCGCCTCGACTGAGTTTCCCTTCAAACTAGCGATAGCATGAAGAGGGAGGACGACACATCTATATGGTTAGCAGGGTTTCGGCAGCCGCGGGGCCCGGCGTGGCCTTGCCATAGGCTCACGCCAAACGCCGTCCATGCCCTCGAAGAAAATTGCAGGGCACCCTCCGAGAACTGCAGAGCCCGCAATAGTCAGAAACTGGGCGCAGCAACGGCGGAAGTTGTCGGATACGTGTCTAGCGTTGTAAGGATTTAGTTTGTCAAGCCACGTCTGGTCAAATCTTCGCGACGTCATATTCTGTTTTCTTTCTTGCTTTCTTTCTTTTTTATCTTTTTTTTTTTTTTTGTGGTCGAAAAAACTTTGCTGTTTTTGCGATTTTGTATTCAGATGTCCGTTTTTCTTATTCTTCCTAGTCACGTGGCTCTACGTTATGATGACTTTTTACGCTTTGCAATGGAACAGCACAATTGTACAGACTTTATCGGTTCAAGAGAACATCTCCTTTGAGCCGACATCGTGCGGCAACGCCCATGTCACGAATACAAGCTAGCTCAATTTGAGTGGAGATTTGTTGTCGCTTTTCTCAGCTGGAGGTCATATGCTAATCAATATTCTGCCATCACAAGCCAGTTCAAGTTGCTGCAAGGAGTAAGCGAGAGTGTAAAATAAATAAAAGGTGGCGTTTTGTAAAATATTGACGTGCAATTTCGCTACTTTTAGAGAAATTACTTGAGTTTCTGAATTTATAAAATAACTAAAATTATATCTAAAAAAACATTTGTATATATTCGTAAGCTGCATTTCAAGACGCGCATTTTTATATTTCTTGCACGGTTTTTCATGAAGTTACTTGTCTTAAATAATTTCTGAAATTGACTCTAACATGTATTTATTACGTGTTTCGTAATATGTTTTTGCATAAAAACATATAATTGTAATTTATTATATTTTGTGCGAATATTTCTAATCGTGTATAAAATAAATTTAAAACTATTAACTACATGCCTGCTATGGTGTGACATTGACGGCTGTGCAAATTAAAATGAGCATAGTAAAATGTTGGCAATGTCAACGCCTCGAGCTTCTCAATTTTATAAATCTGATACATATACACGTTTGCAAGTCCGGCTTCAGGGCGCTGCCATCTTGCTTGGCTGGGGTGCGCTTGGACGAGTCATAATCCGATTACGAAGCCTTGCTAAGGCGTCGTAATCGGATTATGGCCGCTCCCGAGAGCGCACCCCACTGAGGAAGATGGCGGCGCCCTGAGACCGGACTTGCAAACGTGTATAGCTGAATATTCCTCCCCAAAACACGGGGTTCACAAATATTTAGTACAGAAATATCATAAATACGACCTGGACAGCCACTGTACGATTTGACGTGGAAACGCCCAAAGAGTGTGGCATGTTATCCACGTCTCTTGACGTGCAACTGGGACTATAGTCACCTTTCAAGAACTGGTTTGCACTTTAGATGAAAGGGCGATCCACACACTTGCGCCAAGTACGACAGAGTGCCACTGCAACGGCTTCGGACGTACGGGTTGCTATGGCAACAGCTGCGTCGGCTCCAACAAGACCCGTTTTTACCCCGCCGCAAGCCGTTTGCAGTTCCACTTGGTCCGACTGAACGCAAGCACGTGAATCGCCCTTAATGCTCTAAAAAGCTTTGCTTGCTTTTTTTTACGCCTAAAAGATTTTCTAGGTTTTTATTTAAAGCATTGCCAGAGGAATTGCCCTTTTATTTTTGTCGGTTTAGAAAAGTTTTCGAAATATATTTGAATTAATCAGTGATTTCAATAAACTTTTGTTGATCCCACGGATAAATTTCATATACACTTAAAGGGACCATGAAATGACCTTTTACTTTTGCCAGATAAGTCTTACATTAAACCTTCAACATTCACTGAATGCCAAACATGCATCCGTTTTCGTCTCGGTTTATTAACTTCTACACAAAAAATTAATGAAATATCGACTTTTTCTTTCTCTCCAACTGACCGCAAAACAAGTTGCAGCGTAATTTTGACGGTCGTGACGAACTCTGGTACCGGAACCGGAAGTTCTCTCGGCAGTAGGAGAATGGGAACGTTAGCGGCGGAGAGTTGGGGGTGCGCCGGTAGGTTTTTGCTGCGCTGATGGCGCTGATGTCACCGACGTATTTTCTGAATCGGCGCCTCTCATCGCCGCGATAGCCATGGACACATTGCAACTGAGCGAAATTCAATGAGATATGTTGCACTACAGCGACAGCATGGGACTAGTCCCGTAGGCCGGTGTGATGATGTGACTCAATGAGGAAAAGAAGAAGTGCAAGTCAACCCATGGATCGGCCCCGAGGGGGAAAGGAAGATGACGAAGAAGATAAGTTTTGGGAGTGCCTGCAGAGAGCGCGTGAAAGAAGACTGGTCGAAGAGAACGTGCAGAGAGCGGAACGACACCATCGGCCAGGGCAACCGGCGGCCTCCTAATGTCTGACCAGCAGCCTGTTCCAGCGAGGGCGGCGAATAGAAACCTACGATGCCCCCGGCTTCCTACAGCGCGAGCGCTTGGTGCGGTAACTCTGGGGCCGCCGACGGAAGCCAACCGCTCCCGCTCCTGACTTCCAGCCACAACCGTGGGCCGACAACGACAGCACAGGACACACTGCTGCACAGGGATTTAAAGACATGGTGACTGATGCGTTTTCTTTTCTTTCATTTCTTTAACTAAGTTTTCTTCTTTTTTTTTGTATAAGCATATGAACTCTTTGATTTCTTTTGTAAATACAAGTTTTTATGAAAAACGAAGGACGTTGTATCTTGTCAATTATTAACCACAAAGAACCCTGTGACAATTAACTGGCGTCCGCGACAGGACAATATATTCTGTTCTTTCGTTTTTCTACGTAACAATAATTAATCAGAATGGAGGTTAAAGAGGTAATGTCTTTGGGCGCTGAGTTGGGACTGGCAGGAGCGGAGTTGAGGTCTTGGGTGGACGAGGAGCGAGCACGCCAACGAGAAGAGAGGGTTGCTGAGTGGGAAGCACAGCGCCTCAAGGCAGAAAGTGAGGAACGGATTATCGAACTAAAGATTCGTCTTGCAGAGGCTAGCGCAACCGAGATAGGACGAGCAGATGGCAGTGAAGGGTCACGTCGCACATCTATATCGCTATCTCCTAGTCCTCACAAGCTTATGCCTCCCTTCGATGACAAAAGGGACGATCTCGACTCGTATTTGAGGAGATTTGAGCGTGTAGCTCAGGGGAAAGATTGGCCGCAAGAGAAGTGGGCGACTGCTCTAAGCATGTGCCTTGTTGGCCCAGCTCTGGAGGTCATAGGTAGGATGTCACCTGAAGACTCTCTGAAAGATGATAAGGTGAAAAGGGCTTTGCTCCAGCGGTTTCGGTACACGGCACAAGGGTACCGCGAGAAATTTAGAGAGAGCAAGCCGTTGGACGGAGAGACAGGGGGCCAGTTTGCTGCGAGACTAGAGGGGTTCTTCGACCGCTGGGTCAGTATGAACGAATGCCCAAAAACGAATGAAGGGGTTCGTGACCAGATAATCGGGGAGCAATTCCTTCGGAATTGTCATCCTATGCTGGCGGTCTTCTTAAACGAAAGAAGCTGTAAGACCATCTCGGCGCTGGTTGAAATGGCGGACCACTTCCTGGAGGCGCGGGGCCAGCCTAATCTGGCCAATTTCAGGAAGGAGGCCAAGGAAGCCTTAGATTAACTGAAGGAAGATGTGCATGGCAGCAAACCCGCTCTAAAGATAAAATGTTTCTTGTGTGGTAAGTTGGGCCACAAGACAGCAGATTGCCGAACAAAGCCAGAAACACGCGTATTCTGTCAAGTGTGTCAGAGGTCAGGCCACGAGTCCAGATCATGTCCGCAAGGAAAGAACGGAAAGACAGAAGTTTTATGTTTCGTAGAACCCGATGATGATCCTGTTGGTAAGACTGACGCGTTCTCACGGGGAAGGACGAAAATCTCAAGAAACGCCTTCAGAACGCCCGCAATGAATATGACTGAAAAGGCAAAATCATTTCTGTCGGAAGGTATGCCAATCACAGATGGGATATTAAACGGCAAAGCAGTAAAGGTGTTGAGGGACAGCGGGAGTAACACCGTGATAGTGCGCCGGGAACTGGTCGCATCTGAATATTTTACTGGCAAAGTCAGTCCCGTATTCTTAGTGGACGGGACGTGTCTGATGTTGCCAGAGGCAAACATTCGCCTTGTGTCGCCGTTTCTAACGGGACAGGTAACTGTCAAGTGTATGGACCATCCTCTGTACAACGTTATTGTGGGGAATATTCATGGAGCGAAAGACTCGACCGAACAAACCCTGAAGGAGCTGTCTGACGCGGAAGGTGAAATCGTCGCTGCCGTCGACGGTAGTATGCCGAGTGGGTTAAACCAACTTAGTAACGGTGGGAGTGCCAGAGAATGGGGGGACCTGCGGCTCTCGCAGTGGAGTGACACCGACGCTAAAGAGCACTTGAAAAGCAGGCCAACCACTCACGAGCAGTACCTAGAGATGGAAAAGCTGCTGCAGCGGGTCTTCGACATGAAGAAGCCGGTGTACCCCAATCCCCGCAGAGTGCTCTACCCGAGGCCGCGCCTCCAAAAGAGGGACCCTGAGGTTCAAACAGTGCTTTCGCCACTGGGCACGACCAATAAATACCCCGTGCTGGAGATATCTCCTCATGACAGCGTCCCGACCGAGGTCATCGAGGGCTACAGCCTGGCAGGAGCCGACTTTTCCGTCTCGTCCGGAGAGGACACCAGGGTGCACGTAAACGAAAGGGCCAAGAGGAAGTGTCAGGATGGACGGCCGAAGTTCCTTGAAAGGCAAGTGGACCGGGAACAAATGATCAAGGAAGAAGACCTGCAGCTTGAGGAGCGAAGGCTCAAGCTCGACGAAGAGCGGCTGACCTTTGAGAGGACCAAGTTTGAAGCAGAGGTGGCGGTCAAGGTCAGAAAGCTAGACATGGAGGAGAAGGAGCGCCGGATACGCGACGGCATAGACAAGATGCACCCGGAGCTCATGAAGATGTTCGAGGAACTGGTCCGGAAGGCACTGTGATCGAGAACTGCCCGGAAATTCTTCGTCGCGTATGAAGTGATTTGGTACGATGGTGGGCATTATC